GAAACCCGTCAGTCTACCAAATTTTCTCAATCTATCTCGAAAATTATAGATCGAACAACAATATCCATGGGCAGACGTCAGGTGGACACGTGGACAGACAAGCTTAGATCAATTCAAAAAATGATTATGATTTTTAAAATTCGTAAGTTATTTATAGTAAATTGAAACCTCGTAGTCAGTTAATGCCATTTTTTATGAGGAACGGTTGTGAAAATAGTTCGATACAATGCATATCCAATGGGAATTTTCCTAGTTCCTAAACGTCTCAGTTTTTAGTCAATACATCGCAAAAATTGCGATTTGTCGATGCAACACAAAAATTCGGGCAGGGCCATTGATCAAGCCAGCAAGCTTAAATTGATTCATTAATCAAATTTCGACTGATATCTTATTTCATCGCTTGCACCAGTTCACATTTTATATATTTATTTATTTTTTTTATTAGTTTGGGGAAAAAGAAATCCATTATTTTTATATGAACTTCAGGACTATATTTAACATGCTTCGGATTGTCCGATTTGGGTCAAATATGCACCGTTTTGTTGTACGATTTGTTGCCATTTTAAAGGTAACTTCAAAATGCCTCTCTCATAGAAGTCCTGGTCTCTATTTGCAAAAAACTCTAGTAGTCGATTTTCACAATCCTCCCTAGATTCCAATTTTTTATCATTAAAGAAATTTTGCAATGCAAGAAAAAGATGGTAATCGCTTGGTGCCAAGTCCGGACTGTATGGCGGATGCATTAAAACTTCCCAACCAACCTCCCGAAGTTTCTGGCGAGTCACTGTAGATGTGTGTGGCCTAGCGTTGTCCTGGTGGAACACGACACCTCTCCTGTTGGCCAATTCTGGCCGTTTCTTGTCAATCGCTATCTTCAAACGGTCCAGTTGTTGACAGTAGAGATCAGAATTTAGGGTTTGGCCATATGGAAGCAACTCATAATAAATAATCCCCTCCAGTCCCACCAAATGCATAACAAAACCTTCCTGGCTCTTTGACCACGATCGTTTTCGCACAGTGTTATCGTATGTGATCCATTTCTCATCTCCAGTCACCATCCGTTTAAGAAATGAGTCTATCTCATTCCGTTTGGCCAAGGCTTCGCAGATGGAAATTCGATCCATCATGTCTTTTTCTGTTAATTGGTGTGGCACCCAAACATCGAGCTTCTTTTTGAATCCAGGTTTGTGTAAATGGTTTAAAACTGTTTTATGGTTGATTTTTAGCTCCTGGGCGATGTTACGACTGCTCACATGCCGGTCAACTTCGATCATTTCTCCGATTTTATCGACATTTTCGACGACCGGCCTACCTGTGCGAGATGCATCTTTAACATCAAAAATTCCTGAACGGAATCTACGAAACCAAAATTGCACATAATTGGCTGTTACAGTATCGGAACCATAAACACCAATTTTAGCCACCTGGCTTACATTTTCGCCTTTGTCAAAGAAAAACTGTAAAATGTACCGAATTTTCTCTTTGTTCACTTCCATTTTTAACACGCTGTAACTCACAACTGAATGCACCAAACAAAAAACAGCAAAAGAATTTTTTTTACTGCGAAATGTTACCTTTCCAACGAGCATAAATATGAAATTGTTTGATCGATACTTTACGAGAAATCTATCAGTGCAGCCATCTACCGAAAAAATAATGGTTTTCTTTTTCCCCAAACTAATATTTTACTTACTTAAACATGACGCTCAACCAAATAAATTGGCTCTTAAAAGCACATTTTATTCTGATTATTGTTAAAAACTAGTATAAAGAATAAAAGGAGATTTAAAAAAAAGAAAAAAAAAAATAACACACACAATTAAAATAATAATTCATGTATGAGTAAATAAGAAAAAAACAAAGCATATACAAAGCCGGTACAGAAGCACACCCACAAAGGTTACGGATTCAAGTTGCAAGTGAATCCTTAAACCATCGCAAACATGCAAATGCAAAAGGCAACCGATAACAGGTAATAGTACACAACACCAGACAGCGCCAGGTCCAGGCGCACAACTATAGTTTAGAGACATCAAATAATGTGAAACGTCATTTTCTGAAATGACTAAGTTGGCAATCGAAACGGAGTTTGTTTTCGGATACGGAAAGTTGACAGTTGAATCGGAATTAGCAGAGTCTTATGGGTACTTAAGAATTGCTTCAGATTTTTTTTGACTAGCCTTTAAAAAATTATAAATAATCATCAGCAATGGCGTAACGACATATGAGAAACTTCAACGAGATAGTTAAGATGCCAGCACGCAAGCTGCCTACCACTTTATAATCGTTGACAATTGAAAAGTCTTCTTATCGCTCACTCGTACGTCATTTCAAAGCATGAACAAAGAAGATTTCATGGTGAATGGTACTTTGCTTCAAATTTGCATAGAATTAAACCTAAATCGTACCAAAGTACGGCGATTAAAAATGGTTCAAATTGTCACCGTAAGGAGGTAACAGATGATGTGGGCGAATATCGCAAAAAAAAAAAAATTGAAGCAACTCCTGCGTGTATAGTGGAAGACAAAAAGCATATAATGCGTAATACTTTCGTATGTGATGTGATATCTTTCTTGACAACGTGATTTTTATTGTCGCGCATTAAAAGCTTGCTTGAAGAGGAAAATATTTACTGAGACAGTAAAAGTTTACTTAATTTAAGTTCAAATGTTGCCTTTAACGGCCAGTGGCACGCCACATTTACCTTCTGGCATCATTATCGTTATTACATCCATTATGCCTACTAGCATTCTCCACAAAATATTAAAAACAGATCGCCTAGAGAAGAAACGCGTTCGGCTTGCAAAGACTTTTGTGCACTCAAAAGTCAAAAAAGAGACAAATAAATAAAATATTTATTGCGCTTTATGTTTACTACTCCCTATGATGGGCTTTGATTTGGTAATTGTTTTTATGTCTTATTATTTGCAACGAATTAATTTTAAGTGGGTTAGCAATCAGAAGAGTAAGAGAAGCTCTTAATAAAATATGGAAATAAATTTTTGAAACCAGAAGCAATCAAGGTAAAGAAATCTTCTAAAAAATCTTGCTCATCTCAGACACAAAGCTATTTCTGTTCTATATTTTACAGAATTATATTAAGGTAAGGGGTTTTATGCTTCGAACATGTAAAACTCATTCTAAGATAACATCGTCCTCAAGCATCTTAACTTAAACAAGTTCAAGTATCGGTGATTGGGAGACTAGATAGACTATTGTTGCCCAGAAAATTAGGGAGTCATCATCCGAACTTAACTATTGCTTGTTTGTCCCTTTGGTCTTAAATCTCTAGAGGTTTTGAAAGCCTACCCTTGCGACATTTCTCTCTACGTAAAAGAATAAAGACACTCTATATTACGTCTTCAGGAACCCAAATACTGGAAGGTAATCTTTGAGAATTCACCTTGGCGATACATTTGCAACACACCAATGGATCTTAAAAAAGTCCTCTCATCCAATTTGCAATTGTGGACAAATTCACACAATAAAGTGCATTCTTTGTGACTGCCTTAATTGTTTCTTTTTTTAGAAGAATCGCATTTGGAACAACTAATCCTATAGACATCTTGAAATCTGCTGCAGAACGAAATATCTCGCCCTCTCCATTGACACAGCATATCACTCTATTAAGATTGCTGGGCTCAATATCTAATATTCTTTTTTCCTTTCGAAAATGACAACTAGTGCTCTTTGCTCTCATTTTATTCTAGGAATTTATTTCATTGTTCCAAAAATCATAACAATAATAATAGTAAGATGACAATGCTACACATGGTCTTAGGCGAACTTCTAGTAAGACATCTATTACACATAACAAAACACGATTGAGCTGAAGCCCGAATAAAAAGATAACTTTGTACCGACCGTCAAGGCGAAATATTTTTTCCTTTGAAAAATCTATTATTTATTCTTATTGGAACGCTCATCATTTATGTTTGCTTATGAATAAAGATATGAGCTTAGAAATAAAATCAGAAGGTTACGTTTAATCTTGCCCTCGCAGGGCAGATTCATTCCACCTGTCTCAGGTTGAAGTCTTCTCTTTAAAGTCGCCGCGAATGAGTTGCCAATACATCATTGATGCTTTAATCAATTACAAGATACGCCCAAATTGGCTTTATTTTCCTGAAAAACGACACATCTAAAAACGAAACTCGATATGACGGACGAGGCTACTCACAGTTGTCTTTTTTGTTGATGTTTGTGGAAGGTAAGAGATTGTGCTTGTTGAGAAATAGAACATTTTGCGATGTAGAAGAAGAAAAAAACTTTCAAAGCCTACCAGTGTTTTGTAAACCTAAGAAACAATTTTTTAATAAATTTCTAGTTTTACAATATCTTCGATCCGACAGAGTGGCCTCGACTAGCAACTCAATTGGTCGTGGGTTCGAATCTCGAAACCTTTACTCGAAAGCTTTAACAGTTTTAGTCTTAAAATTCATTTCTCTGGCGAAATTAATAATAATAAGAGTAATATTAATAATACCATATATTCAGTATTTGAGAAAGAAAAGCTTAGTATTTTAAAACAAAATTGTGTCTTTTTTTTGCACCCTTCCCAACACAAATTTTTTTTGAATTCTAACTTCGATAGTGTCTTACAGAAACTTAGGTATGCAGCAAGACTCGAAGATGAATTTCAGCTAGTAATTGCTGATGAGGGATTGACAATACACTTTTTATACACGAATTTTTTCTTTTCTAGCACGAATCCAAAAGAAAAGAATTTTTTTTTTATTCAAAATGTCGCACGTATTTTGTTGCACGAATTTCTAAGGAACACATCTACCGTGTAAAAACCGCTTTGGGTCTACCATTCTAAGGGCGAGCCATTGACAGATTTTACCACTCTTTTCGAGCAGGCCAAGACTTATGGACTTCAAAGAAATTAAAAGAAGCTCGAAAAAGTTTTGCCTTTGCATTCTTTAGATTCGTTTCAGAGAATATGCCTATGTGTGGCGAGTTTACCCGTTTATAATGATTTTTGCTTTCTTTTTCAGATGCGAAAATGTCATGACTTGTCCTATACGTCCTATAGGTTCCGGTAATGAGCATTGTCCGTACGACTGGCTGGCTGTGTACGATGGTCGCGATGAGCACTCACCGTTAATAGGGAAATTTTGCGGTCTCGGCAAATTTCCCTTTAGTATAATCGGTAAGCATGGATTACTATAAAAGAGGAATATGAGAAGTGTATTCACTCACTCTAAGGCATTAAGAGAACTTAGAAAAAGTAGAGAACTCCAATTATCAAATCAGAAAAATATTAATGCATTGAACTAGAAGCAAGTATAAAAGTAGCATTGGTGTCTTCATATTTTCAAATATAACCTGCAATAGTCGAAGCTTCAAATCGTTGCGTGTCTTCCTTTTCCGTAAAATGCTGGCGCCTTTTTCCGCCATTTGTGTACATTGTATATATGTACATTTTCTCGGCTATTCTTTACATTCTTTGGAACAATTGCAGTGTAGTTGAACATGCAATATTTACCTAAATTGTCCAATTGACATATTACACTTTGTAGAGTTGAACAAGGTTTCAAAGAATACCTTCAATGAATGCAAGAGGAGAATAAAATACAAAGCAGAGAGATAATGGTTAACAAAAGATGTATGAGTAGTGTAAGTCAAATGCAATCTATTTAATGTTTATTGAATAAATTGACTAAATTCCAAAGTGAAGAGTAACTACCGAGCTTTCAATTCATTCAAATACAGTTTTAATGCTCTTGAGAGCTGTTTGAAATTTTAATCAAGAGAATTGCATAATAAATGATATTAAATCATTTTGGTCAAATAGTGCATACTATTGAAGGTGGGCTTCTAGTCGAAGTATCTTATATGCATATGTAAATAAGCAGTTGTGGTGTAGAGGATGGGTGATTATGATTGTAATACCCAAGCGATGTTAATTTACAAATGTGTTACAGTTAAAGTTAAATAACACAATGCAATAACATCATCATCATCATCATCGCCATTAACAACGGCATCGATAAAGGAATTGCATATGCATGCTTGTGTGCGTGCATGTGTCCGTGGCCGCATGTGTCCATGAATATGCATGCAACGAAGACAGGGAAATGCATAAATGCATGTACATATCGACTTGTACACCTTTCATATATATTTATGATATATATATATATATATATCATCTGTATATATATATATATCTGTATGTTACAAATGACTGAACCATTACCAGCAGAAGTAGATATTGTTGACGTTGGGTCCGTATGCAGACAATGAACAAATATGCATTTATGTCAGTGACATTTATCCGAGGATGTATTGAATGCTAATGCAATTAATATTTATTAAATGTTTATTTGCCTACACACAACACACAGACACATGTATCATCCATCCATTTACTATAAATGTTCTCATATTCCCGGCAAACAGTAAATATTCTGACTAAATATTTAAATTTGCTTTGCTGTTTTTTTTTTGTTTTTTTTTTTGTCTTTTTATTTTTTCCACCTATTGCAGGCACTTCGCAGTATATGTATGTGGAGTTTGTTACCTCACCAGCCGGGCCTCTGCTGAATACCGGTTTTCATTTTAATGTTGGCAATTGGCCAGGACATGTTGAAACGGCAGGCATTAAACATGGCATTTGTGATTGGTTACTTAGTTCCGATTCGCTAAAGGACAGCAGCGCCAGTGAGGGTATATTCCTAAGCATAGCTCATTGGTATCCGCCGAACACTTCATGCAGTTATCATATTAAAGGCCGCACCGGGGAAATTGTGCGCTTATATTTTCCAAGGTAAATACAAGCGACAAACAACACAAATATTCACTATTTCTGTTACTATCATTACTGCTGCTGCTACCACTACGACTACTACTACTATTATCGCGTCTAGTACGCATGTATGGGTTAGTTGCGTTTGTTATTTAATTGTTAGAAGAGTTTTTGTGCGGCTTTTCTTCAAGTTATACTTCCCACCGGGAAATAAGGAAAATGTCTAGCGCTTATAGTTACAAAAGCAGCAGTAGTTCTTTCTTACCACTTAAGTATTTTTAATGAAAATTCTAGGGAAAGATTTATGTGACATTTTAATTTAACCTGTCACTTGGGTTAAAATTGCTACGATGCGTTCGTTGTCTGTAGCATTGTTATACATGCAACTATCTATATGTATGTCGACACAACTATGCAGACAAATAGTTGTATATATTTGTATATGTGTTTATAAATACATACACATATATAGAAAGTGTTGGCGTTTTTTGCGCCTTGATTTCTTCCATAATTTCTGTCGTTGTTGTTAATGTTATTTTACTTTTTTATTTACTTATTTTTTTTCTTTTTTTATTTTTTCTTTTTGTTTTTCGTTGCTGTTGAACAAACATAAAATTTCACTGCAATTTCATTCATTATGCTGTGATGTTGACTGACGATGTGACTGCTGCTGCTATTGCAGCATATTGCTGTTGTTGCTTTTGATGATGCCCTCTTTCCTGATATTTGTCATTAAATTGCTGCTGGTCGTTATCATTGTTGTTTGCATTTATTACTCGCTTTTGTTCCTTTTCTGCTTTCTGTTTTCTATATGCAAGAATATGTACAAGAAAAAATATGATAAAAAATTATGGTTGAAAAAAAAACCAAGAATTTTAAATCGATTTAAGTTAGTAGATGTTTGTTTCAAAAAATGTTCCCATTTCCTATAAACCAATTGAGAATTGTCAATGTGAAAGATCCCATTGAGAGAGATACTGAACCTAACTGCCTATGTGTGGGTCACAGTAAGCATTAAAACGTTAATGTAAAGGAGAATAGTTTGATGACAAATTCAACGAAATGCAAGCTTAATAGATTTATTCCTCTGCACGTAACATCAGTCGGACGGTCCACAAAGTGTATGTTATCTAGATAAGTGCCAGTTTCTCCCTCGACTTAAATTTCTCCGTCCGTTTATTTATCATCTATTGTTAAAACGTTTACGTCGAAAAAGTTGAGATAGAAGGCTGACACTCGTTTGGCTTAATTGGTAATTAAAAGCTAGGTTTAAAATCGGTATGATCGGGTCAAGATAATTCCCATGACAGACAAAATACTATCATTGATAATTTGTAGGAGGTATGGATAAAAACATCGATAAAAATATTTACACAGATCATCTAAATCGTCGACGGCAAAAACTTCATGACAAGTATAATATTGAAATACTCGCTCCTCCAAGCCGCGATTAAAAGCATTCGTAGATGTCAGTGCCTGTCATAACTGTTGCGACTTTAAGAATTCAGTCAATGGATGGATAGATGGTCAAGGGGAGAAAAAGAAAAGCATAGCTAAACAAAGGGATCAACAAATGAACACACGAATCCGTCTAAATCCACTTTGAGTATTATGCCAGGTGAAAATATATATGCCTTTTTCGGGGATTTGTTACTTGTGTATATTTGACTGTGATATTGGGATCCTTTCTCGAGTAATAAAAGTTGAAAGGTATTAAGAGGGAACTACAAAGAGAGAAAGATCAGCAATAATGCAGCGATTGTTCGATCCAGTTGCTGTAGGAAAACTCTTCTACATTATATTTTTGAGACTATTATTATTATTATTATTATTTTAATTTTAGACTAATGAAATGAATTCTTAGACTAAAAAAAGACATTGAGCATTAGCAACACAGGCTATCGGCTCCCTATATTCCAGGAATTCGTGGATATCATAACTCATCGTAAGAATTTTTCTAGATCACCACCAGATCCACAAGTACAAATTAATTATAACCTCACTTTCACTTACACGCCTTCAAAAATTAAAGGTATTTTTAATTAGCAAAGCTCTGTCTGTCTTTCAGCTCTTCCATCGTTTATTCTTCGAGATCCCATACTAAGGGAAATTTGATATAGAAAGTTAAAACTTAGCAGACACACGCTTAATTGACAGCAATGAAAAAGAAATTGCGATCCCGAAGACTGTAGCTTACAGCCTGCAATAACTATTGGCTTAAACTTTCCAGAAATTTATGCACCGATATGCTTAACATTAGCGAAGCATTTCGAGAAAATGACTATGAAAAATGCTTTTCGGTTTTTCATTTCTTATCTAGGATGAGTGTACTTGGAACTGATCATTATCATTTGTAGTCTCGATGAGAAGAATGTAATTGAAAGCTTTCTTCTGAGAAGCTTTAATTAAATCTACAATAATTTTCGCAACCTCGGGAATGTCAACAACAGAAAGACATGTAGGTAGACGGTGCAATACATTCACAAACAAACGGAGGGTTGTGTGAAAAGTCAGACCACAATATGGATAAATAAAAAGATGGGTAATTAACACCGATAAAAAATATATCCCACATTAGTCAATAATATTGACGAGCCTCGGAGAAAAAAAAAAAAAAAAGAGAACGAGAGAAAGCGGAAAATCCCTTCATTTTTAGTTTATGTCTCCCCACTTTAATTTTGAAATTGTTTAGTGCTTGCTTACAACAAACGCATGCTGTTGCAAACACTAAGATATTTTTTTTTTAAATTATAGAGTATTTTAATGAAAAGTGTATTTTTTAATTATTTAAAAATTCTAAAAATGTAATTTATTTGGAATGGTTTTTTTAACTAATACGCTCTCTACATATACCTGGTCTGGGTGACCTTTTTCAAGCTAAGGGGAAAATCTTAAAACACACTTACAACTGTATGGACCACAAATACAAATTCTTTCATAACAAGCTGGCATAAAGCCAACCGTAGAATTTTGTTTTCCTATTTTTTCTATGTCTTTTTTTTATTATTTCCACATGCAGACAGACACATACACCAATTGCAAACTGTAATGGGTTCAAGCCTTTTATTTTTTCCGAACTCTTATTCAACACCATATAGTGCTGGGTGTTTATTTAACATATACTAAAAAGTTGAAAAAAAAAATGTAAAAAATAGTGAAAACCCACAACTAGCAAATGTAGAGAAATTCAAGCGACATCCTCTATCATATATAGACGTGTGTATACATAGATATATATATATATATATACATTCATATGCATGTACAGGCTTTTGTACGTGTGCGTATGTATGTGTATGTTTACATGTCTATAGGCTCATCATAGGAAACCTTAGTTTCAATTCAATGAAGGTGTGGCGCCATGCAGGAGGAAAAATAAACTGTTGGGAAAATAGAATTTTTCCAAAAATTGCATAACTCTCCAGCTTTCTACAGGTCGTCAAATTGTTAAGCTTAAGGTAAACCAAGGAAAAAAATCCTAAATATACACAAACATCTGAACCTTTAGCTATTTAGACATAGATAGGTAGGCAAGCAAGCAACCATCGAATTGTTGTTCCTTTAATATATACATACATATATATACTTGTGTTGTTGCTTTTTTATATATATGCGCATAGATATGTAGAGAGTACGTTAAAGGTGATCATTTCGTTTATTCGGCGGTTTAGTTGCACATATACCGACACTTTAGCTTTTACGACTTACTTTAATACACTCGTTATTCTCCCGTTTTATTTTTCATTTTTTCACTCCAGCTAACAACCATATCAATATGTTCATATATGTGCGTGCATGTGTTTTGTATGTTTATATATATATACATATATATATATATATATATATATATATATCTGCTAGTATAGCTATGGATGCTTGCGAATACAACTGGATTATAAGGACATGCCACCAGGTATAAGGCTTAGTTTTTTGTTGTCACAATCTATCTAAAAGGAAAAAAGGGGAAAGAAAAATAGAAAACAACCCGTACGGTTCATGAGCGTAACTTTTGTGTACGTACGTATGTGGGTGTATCCAAACTAAACTATAATGTGTATGTTATCATCGTTGTTGCTGTTGTCTTTTTTGCCTCTTTTTTTTTTTATTCTACTCTGGCAAATAAAACCATATTGAAATTATGCTGTAACAGCAGAAAAACATTCATTTCGTAGTAAATTTAGTTTTTTTTTTCTTTTCTCCGGATTATGCTTAAATTCCATTTGATTAAAATGTTAAACATTTTATGATTGGCGAGTAACGAATCATGAATACTAGTTGCTTGATTTGCACTTCTTGGTTGAGTTTCCCCGAAAAGAAATAAAAATCTTCTCAGCTTTTCTATCGTAATGTTTGTGGCAAAGATTTGCTCTTCTAAGCTAAATTGACTTCCAATGGACGTAATTATAATTCTATATAAAACATTTGACGTCAATTTCGTTACCAATTAATCGCAATCAACCCCCAGCAATAATAGTTTCTTTCGAGGATGCGAGTGCGAACGTTGCGCTAACATATGGAAAGTCCACTGAATTCTTTTTCATCGTCCAGGAAAATCTGATGAAATTCTTAATGCTAAACAGGTGTTACATGATTAGTTTTAGCTTCTCCTAAATTCAACACTTTTTATGTTGAATTCGATTAGTAAGTTAAGCCGCTTTCATGGCCACAAACCGAAGACAACAAAATATTTCTAAAATACCAGACAATGTGATAAGAGAATGAACCGTGATCGAAAGCCGAACATTCGCGTATAAAGAAATTTTACTCTCAAGTAGAGTTAGTGGATATAAGCTACAGAAGTAAACTTTGTTTATCCTTACACACATTTAGAAATGCATGGCTCTATGTGTTGCAGACTCAAGATTATGCCGTATAGACTAATAGAAAAGGCTACAGGGCAGACAAAGGCTTATCCTTTGTAAACACAATATCTTAGCAAACTGAATCACATAGACGTTATATTATGTTTGCAATAAAGACAAAAGTGGTTCAATGTAGTCATATACGCACCTGAGAATCGGCCTAAGTAACAGAAGAGACAGAATCAAGAATTTAATAATGATTGATTCCTTAAAGATTTGGATGTCCTTTTCTCTGCTACCCACTGCCACTGGAATTCTCTTTCAACACAGCCCTTATATTCTTTGATCTTGCGGTGTTTTACCCTATTGCTACGTTTTTCTCCGTGTATCCCAAAAAAGTTGTTCGATTCCTGCCAGATTACTAATGTTTACGGTAGCATTCACATTTCGGTTCCTCGAAATACGTTTTCAAAGTTTTCAACAGCACATAGGAACATAGATACAGACAGATGGTTTCGTTTCGATTTAGAAAAATAGTACCTTGTTGCTGAACAAAGCCCACTTACGAAAGTGAACTTGAACTTATTTAATTCAAATTATTATTATTATTATTATTGTTATTACAAGTTTAGACAGAGAATAAATTCTAAGACTAAAGTCTTAAAAGCACAAGCATGTAAGGCTTCCGGCTTTACTTAATTCAAATAAATTGTACTTCTAAGTAATGTTAGCATCAATTAATTATTGAAATATTGGGCAAAAATTAAATTTTACAAGACCCAGTTCAGTTCATACCAAGCTGCGTGTAGGACATCAAAGCCAGAGAAAGTATGCCTTTTTTCAGTTTTGTTATTATCATTATTGTAGCTAAGCTTCTTTAACCCGATTGTAGGCGTTGTGCAGCATATAAACACGTATGTAGTCATGCACTCTCATATTTGCCACGTATTCTCATATAATTTTTGTGCATGCTTCATGATATTAGCTTCATTTTGTGGATTTTTCAAATTAAGCTCTTTCACTTTGCTTCCTTCTGCTACCTGCTCTGCTATCTGTTCTCCACTCCTGCACCTTTATTATACCATTTCATGACTTGTACGAGTTAATAGCATACATATAAGATACTTTTTTGTCACATATATTCCGCATAAATATATATATATATGAAATTTATTATATCCAGCATCTCATCTAGTTATGTAATTGTATTAAGGGTTTTTGTGTTTTCCTAACTCAATCAAAAAAAAAAAAAAAAAAAAAAAAAAAAGGAAAAGGATAAAATTTCTTTTGAGCTTTTTAGGAAACGTACTTTACTGTTATACCAAAGAATTTCAATGAACGAAAGTAATTGAAAAAGTTTCTTTTTGTTAGTAAATTTGCATAAAACTAATACGTCATGAATGATAATCTTAGCTGAAATTGAGATTTTCTAAAAAAACATGTAACTACTTGTATAACAAAAGGAATGATGGATTTGGAAAGCTTCAAATCGGATTCGAGATGAATCGAATGAATTAGAAAGTTTAAAACATAACCTTAAAGCACTTAATCATTAATCGGAGATTTAATCTCGAACCAAATCTTTAAAAAACCATCTAAAGTAAATTCTAAAACATTAGCCAAAGCATTGCGCAAAATTTACACTTAAAACACTGTACGTATAACCTGAAATACAACCTAACACACAAACTAAGTTATAACCTAAAAAAGTTCTCAAGCATTAAGTCGATAACTAAGCTAAGATATTGCCAGATACAATTTAGTTACTTTGCTATTCATTTCTTTATCTCTTTATCTCTTTACAGTTTTCGTATTAACCGCATTGAATCGCCCATATTGAAGTACGATGGCGATTGTGGCGAATCTTTAACAATTTACGATTCGGATCGCACTGATCCCGCTCGCATTATCAAGACATTTTGCGATACCTTTTCCAGACCTATGGAAAAAGTGGATTTTGTTAGCACGAGTCCCTCATTGTACGTACAATTTGAATCAAAAACTGGTTCTTATAGCGGTAGCTCACTTTACTATTGGGCTCACTATGATTTCTTTAATAACACCCGCTTTGGCGATCCAGTGGCGAATACGTTATGCGATGAAGTCATGTATGCCTGGAAACATCCCGGTGGTAAAATACGCTCACCTATGAATTCTTTAATATTCAAACGCACTGGCGGTTCAGATGTACGCTGCCAATATAAATTTATAACCGATCGTCGTTTGTATGCTCGCGCATTGATCGAAGTGAGTGCAGTAATGTTCAAGGAATTGCCATACAACAATAATGCTTGTACGCGATGCCATGAAGAACGTGTAGACAAGTTGGTGATATGGGAGGAAAGGGAAAAATTCCAAAATAATTTAGCCTGCTTTTGTGATAACATACCGCGACCGGTTCGAGTAATATCCTCAGCCGATCAAATGAATCTTGAGATGATAGTGCAAGGTCAGCATGCCATTACATCTTATTTTAAAAATCCAAATCCTTTGTTTGAAGCTTATTATGAATTTGCTCATGGCCCGTTGTGTGGACCCATAACGCTGGGGCCATCACCCGACGGTGAATTGGTTTATCCGTTTAAAAAAGCTTTAGCCTTGGTTACTGGACCTATGGCTGCGATACCAGAACATCATTATCGTCGGGAAAAGTGCATATGGGAATTAAAGGTAGCAGCTCAACGCGATTTATGGCTACACTTAGAGAAGGCCAGATTCGGTGATCGAACCTGCGATAGTGCGAAAATTGAAGTTTACCTGGCTGGTCGCTTGGAACCGCGCTTTATAGTTTGTCCGGAGAATATTTCACTCGCTCGTGATTTGCCCATACTTTCAGCTGCCGACTTAGGCGCCTTGGCCAGCGATCAGGAACCTCTGCCCGTGCTTATCCAGTATACAGGCGACGGTCAGCCGGGTAAAAATGCTTTCCGCTTAGTATGGACCGAGTTGTTCCATTTACCTCGTAATCCCGATGGTAGTTTAGCTGCGTCCTTATTGCAAGATGGCGGTGGTTGTGATTTCAAATGTCCCGGCAATACAGAAGTGTGTATACCCCGCCATCTCTTATGCAATGGCATTGAGAATTGTCCCAATGTAACGCATATATCAACGATGGCCGAACTAACGCGGCATATAGTATGGAATTTGGAACAACTTGGTCTATGGCATGAGCATAAAGACAATCCAAATCAATTAAAGGAATTGATATTACACGATGAATCACCGGAGATATGCTTGAAAGAAGAGCTCAACACACTGCCATACGGTAAAATCTTTCTCTTTACTTTGGGTGTAAGTGTTATGATGTTTTTATTGATCGCGATATTATGTCGTATGTGCCGACGAAATGAGACGATTTTAAAGCACACAGAATATTAGTAAAGAACTAATTGAAGCAATGACAAAATAGAAGTAAAAATAAATCTCCTTTGAATTAAGCTCTATTTCTATTTTCTTTTTTTTTTTTTTTTTTATTTTTTTTTTTTGTGTTGTTGAGATTTATTAATATAGTTATAAATTTTAATTTTCATTTCTATGAAAACTTATTTATAAGAAGAACTGCCACAATAGTTAGTTAGTTACTTACACTGAATCTTAAACACAATCCCCGCCTCCTTTATAAAAGCTCGGTAATAATTTTAGACTTTTAGAATTTGTTAGAAATTTAAATGAGAATAAAACAAACGAAATTAATGAACAGAAAACAAAAATTAATTATAAATAATTACAATAAAAATGAAAAAATTGTTTAAATAAACGGAGAAATCCGAACCTTATAAACAATCCACACCAGCATAGTGTATATGATTTCAATATTTCTTATAATAAGATATCTCTCAAATCTGTTTAAAAGCATATGCGAGAAATTACATGGTACTAAGAGAAAATAAACATTGACACCGTTCACTTATCTTAGTCGGGAGACAGCAACTCTACTCGTCCATCTAGACATTGAAAGCTTTGTGTCTCACATCAAAACCAATTTTTTTTTTTTTAAGAAATTTCTATAAATATTTCTAAAAATATCAACAAAAAGACAATATCGATAACTTTTTTCTTTTCAAATATGAATTTTAGAATAGATAAGAATGCGATATTTGGATAAGGCCGACGATTAGATACCACACACCACTTCGCCTAATACAATCATTCGCTCATTTTCAATGACAATAAACCAAAATTACACATTATTTCTATGTAACTGCATGATTTTCATTAAATCGCTCATATTGGACGGTACTAAAAACGTCAGCTAACATGGTCCAAATTAAGCAAACTTAATTCACTTGTCAAAGATTTTCACATATTAGACTTTTTCGCCAAAGAATATCGGTTTTCTTTCATGGGAGCCCCTCTATACGGTGCGGTCTAATATATAGACCTATACGATTCAAATTCCGTATGATTAATTTAGTAAGGACCAATTTTCCTCATAAAATATTAAAACTTGGATTTTTTAACATACGAAAACTTATCTGTCATCAGAAATGTTATAAAGGTTGGGATGCCAAAAATAGACTTACGTGGTCGAAATTCGGTAAGGTTATTTTGATGTAAAATCATTATTATGGAGGCACTTTCTACTTTTGACCACAACCAAAGTTCAGTTTCCGTAGACACAATTGTGTGACAAAAGGCTGAAAATATTGTTCCATTCCATCCAAAGTTTTCACGTAACGACGTATACAAAGACGTATCAAAACATTCGCCCTTGGGTCGAAAACTGCCAGAGTTTCAAACTTTTGTCAAAATGTATCAAAAAATTGCTACCTACAGGATTGAACAAAAGAATACACGGGCGGACATCAGGCGGACAGTATAGGTAAATTCAGAAAAACACTCAGAGTTGGCCTGTATAATGAACGATTGGAGTTACATGCGTCTGCACAAACTTAATATTCCCTGCACCGCAAATGATGATAAGAACAAAAGAGAATTTAAATTGTCGGACATTTGCCTTACAGTTATCCTTAGGCTTTGGTTAATTGTCATGCATAAACTTTGCATAGCTTTTCCTTTTTCTGCGGTTCGATAAACGACACTTACGTAACATGGAATATGACCATGGCGGTAGTAACTATTTGCACTAAACTTTGTAAAATTCATAAGTAAAGTGAAATCCCATTGCAAGTTAATGCCAGTAAGTAGTTTATATAACCTTGGGTCGATCTTTGAAGAACGATTATGAAAATAAGTCGATTCAATACATGTTCAGAATGTTTATTGTCAGCACCTGCCTCGATGGCTTATCAGACAACTTTCTTAAAATCATAGATAGTTATAAATGGTTTACGGCACCGCCCAGCTTGGTCACAATCCTGCACTAGAGAGGATATTGTCCAAGTTTTCCACTCTGATCAGAGCGAGGCCCATCAAGCGCCTATAATTGTTTAATGCCCAGGCATTTGAGGATAACCACAACCACCTCAAATGCCTCACCCAAGCTGTCAGGCTTCACACATCCAAATCATTCGATTTATTTGGGCATCCCAAAAAAGTTCACACCCATCCTTACCTATATATAGAACCATTTCTTCCATCGTAGTTTCCCAGAGGAATTGATATTATTTATTATTAAAACCATTCATCACTGTGAAATATTAATCAATATGTTTGAAGATACCCAATGCATGTGCAATGGGAGTTTACCCTCGTGCCAGCATTTCCTCGATTTATCGTTGGATAGCCATTGGTCATAATTCGATTCGATTGATATAATAAAAAGTGGGTTTAGCTGCAAACGATACAGACACCAAAGCAGGCTTAGTACCGGAAGTAGCGAAGGTTACAAAAGGTATTCTTCTTCCTCTACGCTTTTATAAGTGTGAGAGTGAAACAGAAATATCAAGTTTCTGCTTTCTTTCTTAATTCAGTCTACGTTCGAAATTGTCAAAGAAGTAATGACGGCAAACGTGAAGAAGAATATTTTTTGCGTCTATTGTGATTTTCATATCTGATTGTTTTAAGCGACTATTTAAGGACATAAATTGAAAAAATTGAGAAGTAATTGCTTCTTCGTGTTGATAAAAGAGAAATCTTTAATTTCAACATTTAATGCGATTTCATGTTATTGGCTATTGCCAGCGCTGTCTTCAATTCCTTATTGTCAGGGCAGGTTTCAATTTGAGAAGGATTAATGAAAGACCTTAACCTCTGCGACCTAATCTATGTCTAGTCCATCGATGAAAGACCTGAAAATTAGACTTCATTTCACGTCGGAACGTTTTTTTTTAATTTTTAATGGGTGGGATAAATCAAAAGACGCTTTATCTCGAAAACCCGCTTGTCGAGACAATCCAGAGCAATTTTTACAAATCGTACGTTTCGCAAAAAAACCCCACACAAACAAATCCTTACAACCATGTACGCTTTTCTAGAACACAAGCATTCATCTTATCGGATCTCATAGGCTGAGATCCTCTCATCATATACCTTTATTTAAATGTATATCACCAGCTGGAGGCGGATTTAAAAAGAACATGAAATAAATAAAAGAAAAGTAAAAAAAAATTAAATTAAATTAAAATTAAAGTTAATAAAGCAAAAAAAGTTAATACAAAATGAAGTAAAAATAATTGCAAAAAAAAAAAAAGTTTTTTTAAAAAATAATTAAAAGATTACAAAGAGATAATTATTTAAAGAAAAAAATATAACAAAATAAAATAAATTAAAAAAAAAAAAAAATACCCAAAGCACAATAAACGATATAAATAAAGTAAAATGAAATGAAATAAACAAAATGTTAAGTAAATGTGTGAAGAACAAATTAAGATTAAAAACAAGAAAACAAAATACAAAGAACAACAAATTGAATATGAAAACGTGAAGAATGAAATATTTTTTGCACAAATTTGAAAAGAAACCAAGAAAAAAAAAAGAACAAACCAAACCAAACTAAAAAAAAAAAAAAAAAAAATATGGAGAAAAGACAAGAAGAAAAAAACCAATTAAACAAATATGAAATGAAATATTTTAGTAATTAGAGTTTTATTGAAAGAAACCAATTAAAAATGTAAGCGGAAATAATTATGAAAACAAAATCGATATATATGTAAAAATTCTCCTCGTATTTAATTGTAGTCAATAAGTTGTAGAGAGAATGTAAATGAAACCAAATAAGAAATAATTAATAAAAAAAAAAAAAAAAAGTATTTAAATAAATTATATATGTATTTAGTCATATAATCTACACAATAAACATACAATTATATATACATTGAGTATAATAATAAATAAAAATACCTGAATATAAACATTGTATTAAATGACCGCGTTTGGAATGAGATCAATTTATGTAGCTACGTGATAAGTAAGTAAATGGTCGCTAATTCACGTCATAAATTTTATAAAACACGTGAACGGGATCTACTAATATAACAATCGGAAGTTTTAAGCAATGCATTCCAAAGAAATGGGACTTTTGTCATACAAGACGTGGGAACATTTACGTTCTGGTTATCGATTAAGAGGAATGGGTGGGGCGGTCCTTTTATATATAGCTAACATACTAAGCGAAATGAGATTTTTTTTCCCTCAACAGAAATCGAAACACACGTGATGCGTAAGACACTCATCGTATTTTCGATAGTCAATAGAAAATTGTAGAAATTATTATGATTGATTAAATTAATATATATCCCTAAGCAGAGAGTAGGAGATTGCAATCAAAAAGTGTGCACATAGGAAAAGACTATAAAACTAAACGCAAATAACTTGTCCTAAAGGAAAAAAATAACAAGTGAAAACATTATAGTGGAAAGCGACCCGCCAATAAATACCATATACTAAGTCAATATAATTGTTTATATAATGACCTTTCAAAATTAGAGCAAGTCGCCGAGAAAGTGCCTCGATCGGAATCATTTTCAATAGCTTTCGTCCTTGAACCAAAACACATTGATGTATCAAATTTCATCAAAACATTGCAAAAATTTCCACCGGTAGGTTAAACACCAAGAGAAAAGAGACAGACGGAAAGACAGACAAGCAGACAAGCTTAGACCGATTCGCGAAGTGATTCGGAATCTAATAAACGGTGAATCTATCTCACGTGCTTCCGCCTGTTGTATTCATCCCCACAAACTTAATGTACCCTTGCACCACAAGCGAACTAGCAGAGTACAAAAAATTTAATTCTTATAATATATTTACAAAATTATCGAGATGTATTGCATTAGGATCCTCCGAACTTCTTCGTTTTTTCACGGCGCAATTCCCTTCATTAACTTAGTATTGTTCATTACTCGCCTAAACGGGAGGTTTTCATTTTACACGGACATACTCAGACCTATAGGCGATGAACTTTCGAGCATACCATTTCTGCATAAGATAATTGAGATGAACTTAAATATAGACCAACGAACTTCATCAAGTTCCATTTTTCTAAATTAATGTGAAATGACGTCAATATACGTCATTGTACCAAACTTGTACACTGTAGCTTGAAAACGAGTTCACATATATAGACATTAC